TACATATACATATATATATATATATATATATATATATATATATATATATATATATATATATATATATATATATATATATATATATATACATTTATATATATATGTACATACATATATATACATATATATATATATATATATATATATATATATATATATATATATATATATATATATATATATATATACATACATATATATACATATATATACATATATATACATTTATATACATACATATATATACATACATATATATACATATATATACATATATATATATGTATATATATGTATATTTATGTATGTATATATATGTATATATATATGTATGTATATGTATATATATGTATATATATACACACACACACACACACACACATATACACATACATACATACATACATACATACACACACACACACATATATATAAATATATACATGTAGATATATTACACAATTCATATATATGTTTTATGTATATATTTTTTTTCATATACATTTATGATTTGTTCAGCTTTTCGAGTAGATATTTAAAGATTTTATTTTTTCCCAGGGATTTCCTGAAGGCTCTGGTGCAGTTTCCAAAGCCCATTGTTGCTGGCGTCAATGGAAATGCCATGGGCCTGGGCGTAACCATGCTACCTCTTTTTGATATGGTCATTGCTAATGATAAGGCCGAGTTTTACCTTCCATATGCCAAACTAGGGCAGGTGCCTGAGGGTGGAGCTACATATACGTTCCCAAGTATTTTGGGCAAATTGCAGGTGAGTTGGACTTAAAGGTGTTATAAGAATGTGAAGATTTATAGAGTAATTTCAAGTTATCTGTAAGAATTGTTTAAGGATATACATTTGTCTTGTACAGCACTATGCTTTGTATTTTACATGCATTTTATTGGTATGATAAAATGTCTCTGAAGGAAAAAAACAATATTCAACAGCTGTTATTTGCCTCAGTGGTTATTGTTAGCTCCAGTTCTTGCCAAGTTGTGTAATGGTTTGTATCTTTGCTTTCAGTCAACTCAGCTATTCCTTGGGCATAAAGTGACAGCTGCCAAGGCTCAGGAGATGGGTCTGGCCTCAGAGTCCATTTGGCCTGCAACCTACCAGCAGGAGTTAATACCCAAGGTGGCTCTCTTGGCATCGCAGTCTGCTCAGGTGAGTACAGAAGGGTGGTTTTGGTCTAATTATTTACTTTAGGGTCTTTTCCTGTTATAGTTTGAATACTCTGCAGCACAGTTACAGCAAAAGACTACTGATAATGTGAAATTGACTACATAAGTCAGCAAAGTCTTTGAATGTATAATTTGGAAATGATTCTTACTTCACTAATGCAGTTGCAGCTTGAGGTGATTAAGCTGTCCTCAGTAAATTATTCTGTAACATGATGAAGAAGGTGAATTTTGACTTAGGGATGGACACAGCACTTGTGGGGAAAAAAGTATTTAAAAAAAAAAAAATTGAAATGAATAGCTCTTCAAAGTGTGATGAGCATTAGTGTGTCACTATAGGATTCTGCAGGATAATTCTTTAAATTACTTAGTGTCGGCATCAGGTAATGGCTCTGTCCTCTGTAGTTTTGTTTCTTAAATTTTATTTATGCATAGATAACCCCACAAATGCTTACTCACCAAGGAGTTTGTTAGTAGGCCTATGTGACTCCACCTGATATCTGTAATTCTTGAATGATAATAATCTTCTTCTTCTTCTTCTTCATGTTATTTATGTCAGTATTGTTGTTATTGTTGTGGTTGAGGAGTGAGGTCAAATATGACTAGTAATTGACTCCTTGGTGACTAATATCTTGTGGAACCATTTATGTGTAAACATAATTAGCAAACTAATATCGCAGTGGAGATGACCTATCTTTTTGCCATTTTAACATTACTAGCTAAACAATTACAACATACTATGTTTACAGCCGTGAATGATTATTTGCTGTGTTAAGAAATAAAAAGAAACGGTTTTGTGAAGTTCCTAATAGGTGTTGGAATGTCATTTGTCCATTAAGTGGTATATGCATAACATCAGGCAAAATTGACTTTTCAGTAATGTTTCCCCCCTCTTTTTCATGAATGCTTCATAGCATAGTCTTTACAAAAACAATCTATCTTGTTTGGTCCAAGGGAATCCAGCTGATATCATATTTTCTATCAATAAACAAACAAAATGTATTGTGATGGTGATATGACCTTTTAAAGATTTGGCAGCCTTGTGTCCTAATTTTTCCCCAAAATGAAAGATTTTTGCTTATTGTATTCACTAAATAACAGAGGTAATGTGATAATGTAAGCATCAACATATTCCAACACATACTACTCTTCATAAAGGTTTGCCAGAATTATAGAGTCCTTGTTGCAGCTAGCATATTGGTTACCTTTTTCCAATGATTTCCATAGCATTTTTTCCCACTTTCTCTTGTTCTTTTTATCACACGAACAGAACGAACAGAGCATTTTAATGTGAAGACCATAGGTGTGACAGTGACTGACATATATGCGTTCCGAAAAATACGAGTAATTGAGGACTTTTTCCTTGTATTGTGCCTTCATAGTTTCTGAGTCCAGATTTTTTATTAATTTTTGTCAATCAGTCTTTTTTTTTTTTTTTTTTTTTTTTTTTTTCCCCTTTTTCTTTTTCTTTTTCTTTTTCTTTTTCTTTTTCTTTTTCTTTTTCTTTTTCTTTTTCTTTTTCTTTTTCTTTTTCTTTTTCTTTTTCTTTTTCTTTTTCTTTTTCTTTTCCTTTTCCTTTTCCTTTTCCTTTTCCTTTTCCTTTTCCTTTTCCTTTTTCTTTCCTTTTTATACCATCATCTACTGTTTGTGTGCCAAATGTAACGTGAAGGAAACATTAGGTTGATTGGCACTTGCTTTTGAGATAGAATGTTAAGTGTCAACACCAGAGAAATGTTCTTCACTAAATACAACTATTGATTTAACCCTTTATGTCTGGAAGAACCATGTACTGTCACGAGTTTCACTTCATTATTTTTATTATTATTTATTTTATATTATTTTCTTTTGCCTGCCTTTTCCAGTAGTGTGTCGAAGTCAGGCTTTCCAATGAACTACATAGCATGAAGCTTTCTTGGTCTTCTTGTCCCTGTTATTTTATCATTATTTCTGTTATTATTATAGTATCCTCAATTTTTTTTTTTTTTTTTTTTTTTTTTTTTTTTTTTTTTTCCCCCACCCCATTTTTCTGCTGTATATTATTGTTTTCATTTCATTCCATTTTTGATATATTTTTATGTAACTTAATTTCACTTCATATAGGTAAGCTTATTTTAAATTTTCCAAACATTTGAAATCTCCAGTTTGATACTCTAGACCAAGCAGTAAAAAAATAATAATAATTAATAAAAAAAAATTTCGACATACAAACAAATCAACTTACAAACAGCCTCTCAGTCCCCATTATGTTCTTAAGTTGGGGACTTACTCTATATATATGATTATCATAATGTATGATGAAGATAAGAATTTTTCCAATATGTTTAGTTCAGTAATTACCAGACTTCTATTGTATTCAGACTAAACAAGAATTTTGTCCATGTGATCCATGAGTGATATTCAAATTCATGTGAGTAAGAGTGCACTTTTCAACTAATGGTTTATGAGAGTTGGGTTTGCACATTTTGCAACGTAAAATCAGAGGCTGGATCGAAGTTTGAATCCCAGCAACGAGTCATTTTATTCATAAGTTAGGGTTTTAGGATGCAACATGATAAGCATTTCGTTGTCTCACAATCTCGTTCAACAAGCACAGACATAGCAACTCTGGGAGGTCTTTGAAATTGTTTAGTGCTCTGAGATTTGCTGTGAGGGTTATACATTTAGCTCAGAGCATTTTCGGGATGCACACATTTTTTTTATCATCATCGTCATCTTATAAATGGTATAGCGTATTTGTAAATGGATTTCGTTTCATTTTTGCGCCTTTGTACGAAACATTAATTTTGTTATTATTATTATTATTATTATTATTATTATTATTATTATTATAATTATTATTATTACATAGGTGAAAACTACTCCACTAATGGGAGTTTCTCTTTTAGCTGAAATAAACATTTCAGTGAGCCAATGACAAGTACTACCTGTCTCGCCTGTTTACTCTTTTCCTTGATTTTCTTAAATATTTTACGTCATGTTATATTGCTATTACTAAAGTCATTAACATTATAGCAATTAGAATGTCTATAATAAAAATAACAATGATATTCATAGTATTGGCAGGAAAAATATACATATTTTTCCTGCCAATTCAAGGAAAGGTGAAATCAGGTAAGGTCACAAGGTCTACTAATTGACTCCTTTGTGGCTAAGCCCTTGCAGAGCCATCTATGTGCAGAGACATTTCACAAAAAAAAATCTAAAATGGGCACAGCATTATCCCGGCGACATTGAGTTAACCTTTCGAAACACGGCCACCGTCACATTGTCAAAATTAGAAAGACATAGATTTATGGCCTTTTATCCACCGTCCACTTGTTTATTTGTAGCAAGGAGCCGGTACCCCATGTAGTGATTTCCAAGCAGAGGGCAACTACGAAATTACGAATAACATCTTCAGACCAGTTGATCTTGCTAATGTCTACGATGATTTGTAAAAGTGCATCGCTCCTTCCAATCACAGGAGCTTGACTTTTGAATCACACAGTTATTTGAATGGGAAAGAAAGTATTGGTTGTCATCACAGCCAATAAGCTCATGCTACCAGTATTATAATATTGCCACATCTCATATAAAAACAATTTTGGGAATTTGTGTGGAAGTGGAATGAAAACCCATTTGTGATTAAGATAGAAAGGATATTAAATAGACAAAGATATAGACGATTTTTACTGTTAAATATTGAAAAGTATGGTCAGGTTCTCCTCTGTACATTTTTGACTTTGCAGTTATGAAGGGAGAAGGTTTGAATCTGTTCATTGGTTTGTTTAAAAATGTTTGATTGCACGTGCCGGTTTTTGGAAGGGAAAATATAGATTGTGGCATTGGAGTAAGACCTTTAATCTGTTGTATAAATATTCAAGAAATGTACATTGTTGAGAACACAGTCAGTGCGTAAGGATAGACAGTAATGAACTGGTGACAATTACACATTTCCTAAACCACTTAATATTAACAAAGAGAATGAAAATTGGTTAGGCTGGAAATGAGATGATGAGATCTTAAAACATACAATCGATAACTTGAAGTTTGAACACACGGGAAGGCTAGACAAGTAAACCCCGTTTCTATTAGTATACAGTGTCTCCCTCCCACCCTTCCTCCCCCCTTTTTAACCCTCAAAAAAAAGGAAAAGGAAATATGGGAAGAAGAAATAAACATGCCCTCGAAATGCCTGAGGGCGGCGGGGAGGAGGAGGAGGGGGGGTGGGGTGAGAGTGGGTATCCCAGACGCCCCTCGGTTGGTGTGGCCCTAATTCGACCCTAATTCGGCGTGCACGTGGCTTTGTACGCCTTCCCTTGGAAATGGAGCTGCCTGGTGGAGTGGGTGGACTGGGGGTCGCGGAATAAACACAGGTGGTTCTCGGGGCACGAGCAGGAGTAATAGCTCTCCAGGGTGTCGGCGCGGATGCGGCCGCACTCGTCGCCCACCGTGCATTTGGGGAGCTGCAAGGGAGGAAGGGGGTGAGTGAGGTGCACAGAAGTAGACACACAGACTTGATCACGTTTGTGGGTGTGAGATTTTTTTTTTAATCATGATGTTTGAGAGAGAGAGAGAGAGAGATGCAAAATGAACTGTTGGATTCCATGCTAAGTGTATCACGTTTGGCAGACTAGAAGAAAAAAAACAACAACAGAAAACACGGTACAGTTCCGAGGTTTAGCGTGGCCGCCGGGGGTTACTCGCCTCATCGCACGTGTACATGAAGACGGTCTCGGAAGGCGAGGGGATGCGTGTCTCCGCCAGCGTCCAGCGGTGCGGCCACGGGCACCGGCACTGCAGCTCGGAGTGGACGTCGGCGCCCTGGTTCACGCTGTTGACGGTGGAGGGGAAGGGCTGGTCGTGGCGCTCTACCTGGCGCACCTTCAGGGCCAGCTCCCCCACCTTGCAGTCCGAGAGCTCCTCCATCACGTTGCCGCAGAACTGTCCGCAGGGTTGGGGGGGGGGTAATTTTGTAATTGTTATTCATGATAATTCGTGAGATGCTATTGAGTAGAAGCTCCTGTCATGATTACTTGTGAATGGAATTCCTTTTTATTTACACTTACTCTCCAGTATGACCATGGCGCTACGTTTGTTTTGCCTCAAATTTGTTCCTGACCTTGAGTTGCGCCCGGTTTGAGACGTGCTGGGAGTGCGTGTCGTTGAGGCCGTTGAAGTGCAGCGGGCACTCGGAGCGGTCGGGGCATCGGCACAGGCGCTCCGTGATGGGCGTGAGCCAGAACCTCTTGTGGGCGAGGTTGCAGGCCTCTCCCGGGTACGCGCACACGGGCAGGTCACGCTCGCTCCGGCGCTGGGGGGGAAGGGGGCAGGCAAGGGAATTAGGTGGTTGTTTGACTAACCGGAGGGCAATTTGACTTGCAATGGTTTCGTTTCTGATTTTTATGAAATGTAAAACTTAGTCTCGAATGAAGATTTTGGCGGAATGAAAACGAAGGGAAGTAGGATGGGGGGGGGGGGGGGAGAAAAAAGAAAATAGTTAACAAGGCAAAACCTAAGAATGGAGTTTCAGCTGAGAGCCAAGAGGCCGACTCACCCCGTTGCCGTAGATGACGTAGGTGCCTTTGTAGAGCAGCGAGAGGTGCGAAAGGAGTTCGCTGGCGCCGGGATCCTCGTCGGCGGTGGGCGCGGCACAGCTCTTCACCACCGCCACCGTGATCAACACGACGGCGAGGGTGACGAACACGCCCGCAGCCGCAGCCGCCACCCGCACGCTCTCCGCTACGCCCATGCCGCGGCCGCCGACGCACGCCTCGCCGGGGGAATGCGGGGAACGATTGGCCTGCGCGTCGCTCGGGGCTGTTTGCTTTCCTTTATGGGTTCCGTGGCAGAGTTTTTGTTTTTAGTGTGTTGGCTTTGTTTGTTTTCGTGAACTTACACTCCTTTGATCTTTTACAAGTTTATTTTTTCTTACCTTCGGGAGAAAAAAAACGCGTACCTCTTGACAGATCTTTTGTGGAGCGTTTTTTTTTTCTCCTGTCGTTTCACTGGAATACGTATTATTTATTTAATATGTATTTTCTCAAGTTTCCACTTTTTACAAACACACACACACCTGTAAAAAAAATAAATTAATTAATTTATATTCGCATCCCCGTCAGCAGCGATAAATCGCCAATTTTCTCACGAGTGTTGTACGTCCGAAAAAAGATCCGTTTTGTTTTACATTCGTCAAGGAATCAGCCCCCCACCCCCCACCCCACCCCCCAGGAAATGCATAGTAATGGGGAGCCCTCAGTGTAAACCTCCCGCGATGGGTAGTGGGGGGGGGGAGGGAGTGGTAGACGCAGGGAAAAGGAAACTCGAGCGAGACGTAAACTCGGA